TAAGTGTTAATAACTTGTATTTATGTCTTATCTGAACAGTGGAGGGGTTCTTGACTTGCAGGTGGAGAAGCAAGAAATGACTGAGCCATTTAAACTCCAGGGGGATCCCGAATTAAACGTAGCAGTCCTCAGCTTGAGCTTGAGCCAGGGCCCCAGGGTTTGGCGAGATCACTGTCTGAAGCATCACCCTGGCTTATTCTGCAGCTTCAACCTCAGAGTGATGCATTATACCTCTGCGCCCCCCCCGCGTCACAGTCAGGGGGCATCGTCTGGGCACACTGGTATTAACAAAGCAGACACGATGGTAGCAGAACGGTGTTTTCTCGCCCAGATGCGTCAGCTTCAATGCTTGTGCCTGGCAGTGGATGTCTGTTTTAGGTGCTGCTGTCTCCTCACAGTTGGGGGTGAGTGCCGTTGCGGTGCATTGGGAGAGCAGCTCTGAGCCTCTGCTCCTGTTGAGAGTAGAGCTGTTTGCCCCGATCTGTCATTCAGCCTGTTCCCGTGATCCTTCCTGTCCGTGCCGTCACGGTGCGGACTGGGCCACGATGCTGCTCTCGCGTGCTCGTCTGTGCAGGAGCGTGCTGGGGCCACCGGGCGGCAGGGTGGAGCCCGCGCACCTTAAACACCAGACACACGAGTCCGCAGATCTGCAGCTGCGCCCAGTGCCGAGGGAGACATGCGTGCAGCTGCAGTCTGGGTTTTATAACTCGCCGGGGAGGCTGTGGAGCCAGAGCCAGGCCTGGGGAGGCCGAAAGCTGTTTTCGAATCGCAGCGAAAGAGGCTGTAATGTGAAATGGATTCTAAACAAAAGCGACGCTTTCTCACTTTTTAGGTGAAAAGAGAAGCTTTCACAGTGAATCCACGCCAATATGTTGGCCTACGTGAGAGATAGATAGCTGTTGATTTAAGATGCGGTAGCAGAGGCAGTTTTAAATTTGTTAAAGTGCGTGGGTGTGCCGATTTCAGACCCTGCGGAGATGAGGGTCTGGTAGACGAGGCTGATCCAGAGAGACACGGTGGCTCGGCTCTTTCCTGCGTTGCTGGGCGGTTGTGTGATTGTGTCTGCGCTGTCAGCTCCTGGCCGTCAGCTCGGAGTGCACTTGCTTCTGGCTGTCGACTGGAACTCTGTGCCAGCGCTGTGCCTCATTGCTCCCGCGGGCACGCTGTGGCTGTACTCCGGCTCTGAGGACTTGACAAACATTAACGGGGTGATGCTCGTGTCCGAGTCTAGGTCGGTTCAAGACAAAGGGCAGCGTGCCCTTCCCGAATATCCCAGAGTTGGCACGCGGCAGACAGGTTACAGTTACACAAGACACATGAGTTGTACACATGACCTCCCTGCTTCTCTCTAGCTTGTTAGCAACTTTTTGAAAGCCTTCACATCTCATCAGATCTTCCCCATCCTGCTGATGGCTGACTGAGCACCCTGTGGCAACAGCCTGTGCCCCCTCCCGTGTTCAGGGCTAAGCTGGTATAGCCTGGCTGTCTGTAGGAGCTGGTGCCCTCCAGCATTATTTCGCCTGATGACAGAGGCATCAGTTAAAAAAAACAAAAAATAATGCGTGAGCAGCCTTGCTGTCAGACAGCACTTGTTCTCAATTTTAAGCCTCTTTTGTGATGCTTATAAAAAATATGTTTTGGAATAATGGTTGAAATAATGAAATGTCACAGCCCTGCCTTACATAAACAAGCAGCCTGGACTTCATTTCAGCCGTGATAATCTGGCACAAAATGGAGCAGGCACAAACACCTACTGTGCTCTGACAGACTGGGGGCAGGTTTGCTTTCCAGTTTTGCCCTGCTCCTCGGTAGAGCTGCAAAACAAGCAGAGACACACTTCCCAGCCTGCTGTCTCTTCAGGTGACACATTTCCTCATATTGCGTGCACAGTGTGGATATGTGAGGGTAGCCCTGGAAAACATTTTTTATGCTTTAAATCTTATTAGGTCCCCAGTAGCAAACAAAATGCTTGTGATCAATAGTGTAAACCACAGCAGCCAGGTAGCCTGGAGGATGGGGCAATCTGATCCTGACCACAGATGCTCTGTTAATTTGGGTGTCTGTGCTGGACACAACACAGATACGCTCATGGGAGCATTAAGGTGTCAAAGTGCGTAAAGGGTAAGAGAAAGTACCATCGGTCAGCATTTTTTTTCCT